CTTCAATCGATCTGGATAGGGCCATGGCACGTACGCAAGGGATGGAGGCGTGCAACCGTGCCCCTCCTCCTTCCCTTCTATTCTCCCCTTCTCTTCTCCCCGTCTCTCCAATCTAGGCTGCCGTCCTTGGCATCTTCCTCTTCCAGTTTTTTACTCTTTGATTTTCTGATAATCTAATTTGATTTCTGAATTTCTGGTTACTTCTGAAGTGTAGAAGGAGAATTTTGATGAAGAGAACAACGTAAATTCTCTCTCTCTCTCTCTCAAATATAATCATGTTTGTTCCTGCATTTCGATGTTTGATTTTTTTTCTGTATAATAGAGCACATGGCATGATTTTGTACTCCTATTAACTACTGACAAAAGCTAGATTTGTAAATGAAGGTCTCAAAAGTGTTTGTTTTTCCCTTGTGGTCAGACCAGTACATGGTCATGCCTCTGTATAAGCTAGATGTAATTTTTTTTCCATGGAAGAAGATGATTCATGTTCATCTTCGATATGGTTGTTTTCACCATACAAAAGTACATGGAAATGCAGGCTTGCAGATTAAGAGTGAAGTACACTGTAGGTCCTCGAACTATTTCAGGGGTATCACATAGGTCCTCGAACTATGAAAATTGCTATCCAGGTTCTCGAAGTGCAGTTAGTGTGTCATCTAGGTCCAAAATCTCCCCTACCGCCAGTTGGCGGTGTTAAACGTGAAAAAATGGTCATTAATTCTTTGGCATGATGAACAGAAAAAAAAACATATTAAAAATCTGAAATTCTTTGGCATCGAAGATAACCTGGTGCATGAACAGTAAAATGTTCATTAATTCCAAAACTGTTGGCTAACAATGAATTTGGAAAAAATATTCATGGCTTTAATGAAATGTTTGCGACTTTAAAAAAATGGTCACGCACAATGAATTTGGAGAAAATATTCGCGACTTTAATAAAATGTTCGTGACTTTACAAAATGTTCGCGGATGATGAATTTGAAAAAAATATTTGCGACTTTAATAAAATGTTTGTGACTTTAATAAAATGTTCGCGAACGATGAATTTGAGAAAAATATACGTGACCTTAGAAAAATATTCGCGAACGATGAATTTGGAAAAAATATTCGCTACTTCAAAAAAATGTTCGCGAACGATGAATTTGGGAAAAATATTTGTGACTTTAATAAAAAGTTTGTTAACATTGTTTTAAAGTCGCGAACATTTTTTTAAAGTCGCGGACATTTTTTCCATACCCGCGAACAATATTTGTAGTTCGCGAAGATATTTTAAAATTTATTGTTTGTGAACATTTTTCTAAAGTCAAGAATAACTTTTCCATATTCGCGAACATTTTTTTGAATTAATGAACATTTTTATTGTTCACGCACCAGTGTATCTTCGATGCCAAAGAATTCCATTTTTTTTTTTTTTACTGTTCATCACATACAGAAATAATGTTTGAACTAGAACGCTATTTTAGTGTTCAC